AGAGAGGGGAAGGGAGGGAGAAAGGGAGAAACGTTGATGTAGGTTGCCTCTCCTACATGCCCTGACCACACCCGGCCCAGAAACAGAATCTGCAACCCAGGCATGTGCCCTGGCTGGGAATTGAACCTGTGGACTTTCACTTTGCATGGTAACATCCAACCAACTGAGCCACACTGTTCCATTTCTAAACATAAAACTTAAAGAGACTCATGGATTGTACCAGCTCATACAACTAGTAAATTCAGCCAGTGTACCATTCCCACTGCCACTGGGTACTGTTTTACCATTCATAAAAACCTTACCTGAGGTCTTTTTCCCTTCCAACCTTTTCTGCATTTGACCACTCTAATCTTCTTCAAGCATTATGTTTACCTTGCTGATAAGGACATTGTATGTACTTGTGTAGTTAGTAATTACAGTGAACTAGGCTCCTATGGGTGGGTGGGGTTCACAGATTTAAGATACGGCTCTTGTCTCTAGGATTTTAGAATTTGCTTGGGGAGACATAAGTAACCCATATGAAATAATTGAGATAAAAAGATGACATAATTAACAAAATTTTCATAAAGGAGGTCGGACTTGTTCTAGATCTTGAAAGAGGGAATTTTAGCAAAGAGAAAGGCAGAAAGATGTTGGCTGAAAAAGGAGCAAAGACACAATACCCTAGTTTTGTGCTGCAGAGATGGGAATTTGCTCCAGGAGAAGAAAGCGTCAAACTTTGGGAAGGTGGGAGACAAAGTGACAGACAGGATAGTGCCAGACAATGGATGCTGTCAAAGTCTGGACACCAAGAATTTGGCTTTGATGCAGTTGGATATAAAGAGTTGTTAAAGATTTGTGAGGACCATTCTTAGTGAAGGCTTAGCTGAGACCAAGGATCATTCCCTACTGTGATCTCTAAGGTATTTATCATCGTCTTTAGGTACTCACTAGGTACTTGGCTTGTAACTCTTCATACTTTTAAAATATGTAATCTGTATGAGTGTAAACTATGTGGAGTAGGTACAGAGGAAATGTTTGATGATGATGCAAGACATGTATAAGAAAGATTAATCTGGCAACAGCATCTGGCCTGAATTGAAAAGAAAGCCAGGAGGTAGGAAGGTCATGGGGAAGCTCTTCTGGAAGTGTAGGTGTGAAGAAAAGAATGTGGATGAAGCAGATATGAGAAAATGCTTAGAAAGTATAATTGAAGAGAACTGTAATCAATTTGAATGCAGAATGGGTTAAAAATTAATTTAAGCTTTGTAATAAGAAGTTTTGAAGGACCATGGTGACCCTCAGGCAAGATGGAAAACTTGGGAAAAGGTATTAGTTTGGGGGAATTAAATAGGGGAATTTGGTTTGGACAGGCATTTGAGAGGCTGACAGGGTATTCATTTAGAAATATTCTAGGAAACTGGCTAGATGAGAAGGAAGAGGCTATGTAGAGACAGGGCTGAAGCTTTGTTATAATTTCATTCACTTCAACAAATACTTATACAGGTCCTGTTATGTGTAGGAGCTGTGGCATATATAGTTCAAATCAGCATGAACTTTGAGGAATTAACAACCTACTGGGGAAAACAAGTATGCAAGAAAAGAATACGAAGTGTAATTAAATAAGAGTGTAGAGGATATTATGTGCTGGGTAAATGAATTAAATAGTATCTATTTAGCGGCATAAATTTCCCACCTGAGAAAACTGACATGGAGTGCATGAAAGCATCTGGGGGTGGTTCCTCCTGCTTAACTCCTCCTGACTGTGTCTTGCTACTCTGGCCACCACTGCCTGGACTCGGGATGGCACCCGAACAAAGGCAATGATTTCTAAACCAGGCATAAACAAGGCTGGCCACCATCAGGAAAATTGTGTCCCCTAAGGGCCCTTCTTATTGAGTAGTGAATGACAGGTGCATTCAGATTCTCTTTCTTGGAATGTCTTCAGTGTAACTCACAGAAGGTTGTCACTAGAAGCAGCAGAAGCTGAGACCTATATGAGAAAGAAGCAGAGAGATGCTGATTCAGGAGACTGGCAAAAATTTTAATTAGAGTATAATAGATGTTTGTTAATGAGAGGACGAGCAAAGCACCCAAAGCCTGTTGCTGGACAGCAAAAATTGCAGTTGATTCTTGGAAAGAGCAGTAATTCTGGTTGATGATATGACTTTCTGAAGTTTCCTTATTTCCTTAAAATAAACCCTCAGCATTGGCGGTGCTCTGAACATGTCCTAGCATTCTGTATTTTATAAGAGCCCAACTAACACAAGGGCATTCCTGTTGTTTGCTTTGATTATATCTGCAGAAGAGGGTGTCTTATGAAGGAAAGGGTCAGTATGAACTTCATAAAGCAAGATCAAAAGACCGTGGGCATGTGCACATGTGTACATGTGTACGTGACTGCCTTCCCAGAAGAGTGGTAACAGGAGATGGTAGAAATGCAGTTACATCTTAGAGCAAGGCTGGAACCCCAGGGTTTTTGCTTTCTGTTACCCTCCTCTCTTTTCCCATTGTGATCACAGGACAGAATTGTGTACTTGTCCTGGGGGAGAGCAAAGAAAGGGAGAGCCAGGGAGACTGTTCAATGCAGCTAGTAGGCTTGAGGAAGAGAAAGCCCCAAAGGCTAGAAAGTGCAGCCTCCAAGAGGAGAAAAGAGGAATTCAAGTATCTAGACGAAAGTTTCTCAATGTACAGACTGGTAACCACCACTTTCAGATAATCTGATTTGATAAAAATGAAGATTTCTGGTTCACCTTAGATGAATTGAATGGTATGTCTGGGTGAGGGGCCAAGGAACTTGAATTTTTGTAAGTATGTCAAGTTCTTCATGACGTGCTGACTTTTGAGACCCACTGCTCTGAGCCCTGGCTGAAGAAAGTGTTGGGGAAGCTTCTGGCTTCTGAAAAAGCCTCCAGGACTGAATGGTGGGAAGACTTAGCATAGTACATATGTGCATTGCGTAGAAGTTAAAGGAAGAAATCAAATGTGAGGTGAAACTGGACTGTCTGGTGCATGGAACAAGTAATGAGGTTCAGATTTGCTTCGGGAATCATGAGCCTAGATGACAACTGAGACCATAAGAATGGATTAGGTTTCTGCTAATGCCAGAATTTTTATAGCCGGCATACAAGTGCAGTATAAAGCTTTTCCTCCTCTGTATTTGTCCTTCTAAGATTTATGGAGCACCAACTACAGGGAGAACATTGTATTAACAGCTGTCAGAGAAAACAAGAGCTCATGATGTACTTGAAATTGGACAAAATAAATCAGTGATTCATATTTAAGTGACTACAAAGCAACATACAAATAAGTGCAAATTCATTCACTTAATAAAAACTCATTGTGTCCATTATGTGCAGAATTTTTTTTCTAGACTTCGTACAGTGTGGTTTATCAGAAGGTAAGGGCAGATTTTGAAAGAAGGTGAAAACAGATTACAGAGAATTTAAGGCACTCGGTATAAGGATTTAGAGTCACTGAGTTCTGGAGGGTACACAATTTCATTCAACATTCCACAGATATTTATTGAGTACCTATTGTATTGTAGGCACTGGAAATACAGCAGTAGGTAAAACTTAACATCCCTGCCCTCGTGGAGTTTATATTCTGGTGGGAGAAACAAGAAAACAAATAAGTTATATAGTATATTAGAAGGTGATAATTGCTCTGGAAATAAATAAAGCAGGAAGAGAGAGATTTGAGGGAGAGATATCCTATATGATAGATGATCATTTGGAAGAACTCGATGGAACACATTTGAACAAAGATTTATAAACTGGTGTCAGAGGAAGCTTTGGGGATTTATAGTGGACGTGTGTTGCACTTCCTCTCTTCTGCCCCTACTGCGTGGTACCAATTACTATGAGAGGGAGACAGCAACAAGCCTTGTAGAGTACAGGCCACATAAGGAGGAAGAAGAAAGGATGACAGTCCGTGTAAGGCCTGGATTAACAAAGCAGTTGTTAAAACACAGTGACTGCTTTATTCGTGTTTTATGATGTGGACCATTTACTTTTCTAGGTAGTTTAACCACGGAGATTCTGGCTACCCTAGCAGGTTTAATTGTCACATTGTTCATTCAATGTTTTAACTCCCTGAATGTTAACTGATTAATCTCAATCTTCTAATTAATGTTTGAATGAGTCTCCTCAGGTCCAAAGTATCAAGGGTATTTCTATTTCAAAGTAATTTGCCTTCTGATTGAGCCGTCAAGGGTAATAGGTATTATTTGAGGTCCCTGTTTAGAGTGATCTGTGATGGTTTCACAATATCCACAGAAACAACAACAAAAACCCCAACAGCCTCCGGTCACCACCCCCCCCGCCCCCCCCACTCCACCGCTCCGCGTCCCGCGTAAGATTAGTGATTTGCCAGGTTCCTTTGGGCCTGGGGCTCGGTTCCAAGCCCCAGCGTACAGGCTGGTTATCTATCACCCAGCCCAGATCAGAAAGCCGTAGGCAGAGGGCCGTCCGCCGGGTCTCTCCCTCCCACGTTTGGTAACTGCTGTTTATTTACACGCACTGAATGATACTAAATGAATGTGAACAAGTGCAGGCAAATGCCGAGACCTGGCGGGATTTTCGCAGCTCCTCCGCGCAGACGTAGGGGCGCGGCAGGCTCACTCGGGGTGTCTCTCCGGTGTGCGTCTGGACGACCACAGGCCGGCGGGGTCCGACTCTGCGGCGAGACCTGGGGGCGGGCGGCCGCGTGGGTCCAGCAGTGACCTCGCCGAGGTGCCGCCCCAGTCCCCAGCACCCCTGGCCGGGATCCCCAAACCACCGCTACCACGGTCACCCCCTTCCCTGCCGGCCCGGCCCCCGCCCCGCCTCCCCAGCTTACTCCCTTCCCTCTTCCCACACCGCCCTCAGCCGCTCCCTCCCCGCACGCCCGTCCGCAGAGGAGTCGAGCGCCGAGCGCGTCGATAGCTCTGCCCTCCGCGGCCGCCCGGCCCCGAACTCATCGATGCAATCGGAACTTGATTTCCCTAGGCGGCGGCCGCGGCGGTGGAGGCTCAGCGGCGCGGCGGCAGCGGCGGCGGCGGCTGCTCGGCCAGTACTCCCGGTCCCCGCCATTTCAGACCGGGAGCGAACGCGGTGCGGGCACTGAAGGCGGCGGCGGGGGCCAGAGGCTCTGCGGCTCCCAGGTGCGGGGGAGAGGTACGGAGCGGACCCCTCCTCCTGGGCCCCTGCCCCGTACCCGACCCTCCGCGCCCGCGACGGGCGGGGCGGCGGCGAGTGAATGAATTAGGGGTCCCCTGAGGGGCGGGGAGGGGGCGCGGGCGCGGAGCCCGGGAGGGCGGGTGGGCGGACGCTACGGAGGGGTCAGCCGCGGGAGGCGCGGCGACGCGGCGACGCGGGGAATGAGGAATAGGCTGTGCGGGGCTGAGGAGGGTGAGGCTAGAGGCGGTCGCCGCTTGTGCTGCTTCCTGGACGGGGAACCCCTTCCTTCCTCCTCCCGAGAGCCAGGACTGGAGGCGGCCGGGGAGAAACTCGCGGGCCGGGCGGCCACCTCTTGGGGCGGTGGGGTGCGGTGGAGGTGACTCCCGCGGCACTCCAGTCTCCCCTCCCCCTCGTCGTCCTTCCTTCTCCCTCTCCCCCGTCGCTCCCGCACCTCTCCTCCCTTCCCGGCGCTCGGCTGGCGGCGGTGACTGCCTGCTCTGCTGCATCTAGCATCTCTAGGACGGAGGAATAAACTTCTCCCTCGAGCGCAGACCGGCCGGATAGTGGTCCTTTTCAGTGTGTCAGGGGATATATGAGTAAGGGGAGAGGTCACGTTTTGAAAGACCATAGGAAAGTGCTTAGAGACCACTCTTAGAGGTTATTGTGTTTGGGGGAAAAAATGCATCTGCAGCCGAGTTCCTGACTGCTTCCCCTCCCCCATGCATGGGCTGTGACATTGCTGTGGCCACAAAGGAGGAGGTAGAGATGTTGGTGGAAGAACAGGTGGCCAACACCCTACAGTGTAAAGTCTGTGACTTAGTGAAAAGGAAAAAGTTAATCCCAGAAGGTCTATTTTGCTTTGTCAAGTTGAAACAGACGCAGAAAATCCGCAGAGCAGAAGCAGGGTTTTTCCCTTGCTAGTTGAGTGTCGACAGTAATAGCCAAAATCAGCCTTGAAGTTTAATTTTCCTGTTCTCCTTATCTCTTTTATGTTACCCTTAACCTTAAAATTTGACCTCCATTCCAAGAGCTACTACAGTCCTCTTAAACAGCATACAATTAAAAAAAAAACTGATTACAAGAGGAGTTAATTGTAGCAATCTTCCAGCCAACTGCTTAAAATACTCTTAGGCATGTGCATGCTGTAGCTGAAGTCCTAAGCTAACCTTCTTAAATCTTTTTTTTTTTAAGATTTTATTTATTATAGAGAGAGGGGAAGGGAGGGAGAGAGGGAAACATCAACGTGAGGTTGCCTCTCCAGTGCCCCCCACTGGGGACCTGGACTGCAACCCAGGCATGTGTCCTAACTGGGAATCCAACCAGTGACAGTTTGGTTCACAGGCAGGTGCTCAATTCACTGAGCGGTACCAGCTGGGCCCTAACCTTCATAATTCTTGATATCCATCAGAACAAGGTGTTAACAACAGAAAGGTATTTTCTAATTTTTACACAATATATATGTTATATTAGTAATGGAAAAAGTCATTTAAAAAGAAATTGGAACTGGAAAAAGTCTGTTCATAATAATCATCTCAGAATCAACCGTATGTGGGATATCCCTCTGAGGTCCAAAATGCTGATTGGGACCTAGACTAGACATCAAATGTTGTTGATAATCAATACTTATTGCTTTGAAACTGTAGCCATATAGAGACATACTTGGTTTTAAGAGATGATAGATGACATGATAATTCAGTTTTATGACAAGTAAAAATGATTTTTTTCCCCTTAACAAGATGTTGGGTCCTGGTCCCATTTCCACCCCTTGCTAGCTGTTTTAGCTTTGAGTAAGGGGGCTACTTCTGGCTTGTGATCTCCAGTAAGACTCCTTGACAACCCAGTTCTCTCTAGTGGACTTACATATCATGTGATTTTTATAATCAATATAAGTAGTTCTTTTTTCTTTTTTTTCTAGAAACGATCACTCATTAACAAGTAGACTAGAAGGTGTGTTTCTCTCAGAGTTCACACATATTTATAAAACTAAGCTGTAATCCAATATATGTCCATTTCTAGGCTAGCACACTTTGGGGTTGTAAGGATCCCTTTATACTCTTCAAAGTTATTGAAGATCCCAAGATGGGGTATGTCAGTATTTACAATCATAGAAAATGAAAACTGAGAATTTGAAGCATTTATTAATTCATTTAAAAATAGAAATAAGACCATTAGTTGGTAACATAAATACACTTTTAATGAACAATAACTATTTTTGAAAACAAAAAAAATTAGTGAGAAGGGTGTCATTGTTTAACACTTTTGCAAATCTTCTTAATTATATGACTTAATACAAGACATCTGGATCCTCATGTCTGCTTCTGCGTTCCATATATTGTGATCACACATCTGTAAAATTCTACACTTGTGAAGGAACAAGAGAGGAAAGGGTAATCAACATTGTAGTATTTTTATGGAAACAGTTTTTAATTTAACCTCTGGGACCCTCTTTCCAACAAAGCCTTAGGAACCTTAATGGGTTCGTGGACTGCATTTGGAGAGCTACTGTTCCAGGCTATCCAAATTATTTTGTAGGGTTTGGTGGGCAGGGATGCATTATGTTGTGATTCTCATCTGTTCATTTGCTATAGCCAGTATTTGGAATAAGTAAGGTACATGTTTGCAGTGGCTCCCAAGGTGGCCATAGACAAGAGCAAGTAAGGCTAGGTGACAGTGAGTAGGCCTGGGAGCTGTAATATAACAGTCTGTGATAACAGCAGTTACGTAGCCCATCTATTCTTTGTGAGAGGGCTCAGGAATGGGGTAAGGAGGTGGGTAGTGTTTTATCATTTGGAAAACTGTATTTTCTTTTTTTGTGCCTATTTGGATACTTTTTGGTCTTCAGTGAGTAGGATGCTGCCTGTATATTGCACATTGATTAATTTGGGACTAATCATAAATTGTGCATTTATTGCCTTTCTTTCCACAGTACCTTATTTATAATAACATCACATAGTTATTGAGGAAGAGGGGATAAGAGTAAATTCACTTCATTTCAAAAAGTTTGAAACAACTGACTTAAAAAATAAGTTCTGTCTTGTACTGTTAACCTTACAAGTGGTATTTATTGCAGTTGTTGGGAGATGATGTACAAGATACAAAGAGTGAAAGTTACATGGATTACTGAGAAATATTCCCTTACATCTCTTTAAAATTTTCTCTTTAAAGCAGTGCTTATATTTAAATTTTATATAATTATATTTTTAGCACTAATATAGGATTAGCTATTGTGATTGATGATCAAATCAACTATACTGAATATAAAGTTCTCTCAGTTTTTATACTATTATTTTCCCCAACAGATATTTTACACATTAAAATGTTCATCAGATATTGTCCTTACCTGCTTTGGGTCTCAGTTTTTATTTCCTCATTACACAGTGCAACTTTATTTGACAGTCCTTCCACCTCTCCCCCCCTAGTTCCCATCTGATTCTTGGTAACTCTTCAGGAGAGCTAACTCTGATGATGCTTTTTAAAAGTTTTCTGTAGCTCTTGGCTTCAACAGAGACACACAACATACCCACTTGTAGCTCTTTGGGGCCGTAGCCAGCTAGCAGAGATAGCTGTCAACAGTTTTGTGTGGGTATGTCCACAGGGTATAGAGCATTGTGCTAGACACTTACACTGAGTAAAGTCATGGCATGTTCCCTTGAGAGCCATTAAATGCTACAGAAGAGCAAGCTGGCTGTTCAGATAGAACAACCTGAGTATAAGATAAAAGAACTTTGTACTCTGGATGCATTTTTCTGAAATGTTGATGGGGGCCTTTGTAAATGTAGTGCATTTCATTACAGTACACATCTGTAATCAACACAACTGAAGCTTTTGCCATTGAATTTTCTGAGGTATTTTGAAATTTTCCATAATGTGAATTTGTGTTAAAATATATTGATAGAATATTTGGATTATGTTAACCTCATGTGTGATACATGTTCTAATTTAGTCACATTTTCGTTATTTTTATTATAAGGCCTGCTGAAAATGACTGAATATAAACTTGTGGTAGTGGGAGCTGGTGGCGTAGGCAAGAGTGCCTTGACGATACAGCTAATTCAAAATCACTTTGTGGATGAATATGATCCTACAATAGAGGTAAATCTTGTTTTAATATTTTGCATCTTGATTTGTACAGGTCTATCTTTGGGGAACCAAAAAAGTTTTCTTTGATCATTTTTTGTGACTACTCATTATAAGACGGTTATTTGAAAATAATCTTTTAAGTTATCAGAAGCGTACTTAGGCTCCAAGGCTTTACTCTGAAGTACAGGTAACTGTAACTACAGACAGCCCTCCTCTTAGGAGAATCTCAGGATTCATTAACATTCATTCTGTGTTGGTATGTGTGCATTTTGATTAGAAGTCCATTTCAGAGTTTTGTGAGAGGGTGAAAATGTGAATTTATATCTTATATGTACTAACAATAATTTCTTTTTAAATGTGGCTAATTTCATGGGGCTTATTTTGGTATTTTGATTTCCTTCTTTTCATATTGAAGCAGTGTAGAACCTACAGCTACCTGATATATTTTAAAAATTTATTGTTTGCATATTTATCTATATATATGTAAACCTATATATAGAAAAGATAGTATGTATCTATAGTATATAGATATATATAAGGGTACCACTTCCAATGCTTAACTTTGTTTTGCAGCCCTTGTTTAATTTACTCAAGGAAATATTAGAATTGTTTTTATTACAAATTGACTAATGAATAATTTTCAGACTTTTTATTTTAATGAAGAATTCACCACAGTAAAGGCCAGCAGCAAAATGATAGATAAAATAAAGACCTGAAAAAGACCTTGAGAGGTCAGGTAGTATCAAGCAGATAAGGATTAATTTAATCCCAAAGAGCTACAGAAGGGGATGGCATGACTGTCCTTGTTCACTCATTTCCAAAATTAACCATATTTTATACATAATCTGAATCTACATGTTAACTTTAACATCAGTGGAGATGGAAATAAGTGTGCTGCCTCATCTTTGAAATAGACTTGTATGGTTGGTTTATTTCTTAGACTTCTCGGGTTAAATAATCCTGACCCCTTAGCTTTTTCTAGATCTGATATACCGATTTTTCAAATCAGCTCTGAAAAATTTCCCAGAACTTTCTCTGAGTTCCAAGAAGTATAATGCCTTGAAGAAACACTTTTTGATTTCACTGAGTTAGATTCTGAGGGCATTTGGTGGCCTTGGGAAGATGTTTATGCAGTTTAGAATTTTGCAGATTGATTAGGTAAGTTTTGTAAGGAAATGTCAAATGTTTTTGGTACTGTAGGGAAAAAATGGAGAAATAATGCGTGTTTGCAAATATTTGATTTAAACATAGAAGCAATTTTTATTTGGCTTCCAAGTTTAAGAATTTGCATTAGTAAAGGGGAAGAGTCTAACTGAAGTGGACCACCTATAAAATAGTCTCTGTTTTCTCTTGACAAGTCAGTTCATGCTGTATGATGGTTATGCTTTGTTTTCTTTTTGTCTTCAAGGAGGATTAAATAGTTAACTCATTTCTAAAGCCAAGGCTAGTTGGCATACTTCACCATTTAAATCAGAAGTGAAAGGAAGTTTTAAATAGAATTCAGGTTAAGCATTGAAGTGTTCCTGGGATTTTGGAAGATGGTTTTAGCAGAAGTACCCACCATCTTCTCTGAAAATCTGAGGAATTCCATTACGCTGTTTCCTATGAGATCATGAATGTTATATGTATGATAATGTGATAAAATGGGTTAGGAAACCTTTTGGTCACAATTGTTAAAGTGCAATATACACCTTAGAGAACTAAAGCTAAAAGTTAATCCTTTGTTTGGGGGGAAGGTAGAAAATGTTTATAAACTCAAACCAATGACTCTGATGATGATTTCTGCCATACCAGACTTGACTCCGGGAGCATTGATTACTCATGAACTTTGAAACTGACATTCCCTTCGCTAGTTCAGCCACCTGGGAAAAGGTATACAGAGATTGTCTCTGAGGCAACTGACACATTAAATTTTTGGTGTGTTGTGTGGTTCAACTACAAGAAAGACAATATAATTTGTTAGTTTATTTTAATAAATAAGCAAAAATGCTGACTTGATGCTTTTGTAAAAAGTTAAAAAGGAGGATGGGATATCACTACTGTTAGGTTTTGATTAGTTGAATAATGTAGGTCAGAGAGAAGATGAGACATGAACTTTGCACATTTGGAATTCTCATCAGTTTTTCTGTGTTGAAACAAATGGAAAGAAACTGAGAAAAAAATGAAATCAGGTAATACCATATTTTCTAGTGCTTTAGAATTTGCAAAGATTTATATACTATGAGATAGATAAGGAAGGTGGTCATTGCTTCTTTCATTTTATAGATGAAAAGGGGTCTCTGAGAGGTGGTAACTTTCCTAAGGGTACTTGGCTAGTAAGTGGTAGCATTTTAAGTTTTCTGAGACTGAGTTAAATGGAATTTCCACTGTATCTTTGTACCACTTTCTAAAAATGAAAAATTAGCCCTCAAGCAAAGAAATATGTAGTATTGGAGGCTGATTCAGGTTTATCACTGTACCAAAGTTTGATCTTATGTACATCTAATGGCATGTTAATGGTGGCGATAGGATATAGATTTAGTAGGTATGACATTTGTGGAGCATGTTTATATTTGAGGCTATGCACATGATAATCACTTTTACTTCTTTTCTGAAAGATTTTACCTTTATCTTTTATGGAGTCCATCAGAGAGTTCCAGAGATGATGAAATCCTCATTAGTGGTACAAGATTATTAAAAACTCAAAAGCAGTCCCTCACACATACCAGGCTAGAAATAATATGTTCTTATAGTTTAGAGATCCTTCACTATTATGAAAACCTGTTCTCTGAAGGAAAATTCAACAGAAGAAGAAAAATCTGGTCTTAAAAAATACAAGTAATTGTAGACATAGAAATCAGAATGATCAGTTGATCATTTAGCAGATATATATTATATCTACTGGATATAACATACTAGTCAAAATAGGTATAGAAAGAAGTATTTTTTTGCAGGCTCTAATTCGCTGACATCTGCATGCTTTTGTTAATGTGACACTTATAATTCAGTCTAAGTTTTATGCCCTTCTCAGTAAGGAAGAATTGATTTATAATTGGATTGATTTGTTTCATCTTTAGTGCTCTTAGCTGTAATCACCAAGGTTTATCAGTTTCTCTATTTTTTATTTTTTCAAGTTAATTATGGATTTTATTTTACTTGCTAAATAAGGTATTTAGATTAAAGAGAGAAAATTTGTAATATTAAACAGTATTTAAGAGTGGTATTAAAACAGTATTTAAGAGCAGTATTAAAGAAACATTATGTAGACTTGCAAGCTATTATTTTTCTGGCTCTCTGTAGTTGTCAGTGAGTGGGTGGGTGACTTTGCCTTTAGGGGACATTTTGCAATGTCGAGATATTTTTGTTGTCATAACTTGAGGAGGCTACTGCTGGCACCTATGGGGAGTAGCGCACAGGATAGCCCCACAACAAATAATTACCTGGCCTCAAATGTCAGTAGTGCTGAGGTTGAGACCCTAATGTGTGCAACACGTGGCTTTAAACATCCTTAAATTTTAAACTCTAAGTACCTAAATTAGGTTTATGTTAGATTTTTAAATATAATATAGATTTAAGTTTTACCTCTTCTAAACCAGTAATCATTAAATATGTTAAAACATTCTGTTTTTAAAATAACAGGTAGCAACTTTGTAAGTGAAGTTCTCTCCAAGGTTGTAGCCAGCTCTTCCCCCCTTTCAAATGAGTGCCCTCTACTGGTCAACTTATTTGCTTTTATAATAAATAACAATGAAATACCTACTAAGTATGAATATTTTTCCTGTTCAAATTCTAGGTATCATTTTATAAATATATACAATTTAATTAAAACTTAAACTTTAATTATTGTTTAAGAATCTAAAGTATCATTTTATTCTCTGCTAATATTAAGATTACTGTATGGACAAGTTAAACCTAACTAAATATGTAGGTGAATATTTTTAATTAAGAAAGGCAGTGCAGCCCAGTGAGAAAAAATAGGGGAGGTTATTTTGTTTGAGGGAATGAAGTGGCACAGTGGCTCTGAATTTCATTGCCAGTACACAGGAGGTTCAATGCTTAGTGTTAATGGGGTGTTAGAAGGGCCTATTCAGAAGTGGCAAATTGCAACAGTTCACATTTTGTAGATTTTTATAGGATTGTGGAATAGTTGTGAGCACCTGAATTTTAGAATAAACTAACACAAAATCCAGGTGCTTTATTTAGGTCAGTTTAAGAATAAGTATTTGCTTAATATTAACTATTTAGGCCTGAATGTTAAAAATTATTGGACATGTCTTGTTCTAAACTTGAGTTTTTATAAATATAAAGCTTTAAAATATACAAATGAAAGCTGGTAATGCAAATAAGTGAAAGGAAAAAGCATTATACTTTGGTATTTCTTAAGATTCTGCTTTTAACAATGCAACGAATTCCTTAACTCCACAAATATTATTCAGTGTCCACTTTATACCATACAGCCTTCCTAGGGGCTGGAGACACACTGAGGAGCAAAAGGGACCAAGCCACTGCCTTCATGGGGCTTATTAGTCTCTTAAGGTGTATTTTGAAGAGCAGTCTTTCTAGACAGTGGCCCAAATTATATATAACTTAATTTAGAGGCTTAGTGCTTTAGGAGGGCAGTAGATTTCTTGCATCTCTTAACTGTATTATTTATCATAGTGCCTGGGTTTATGGAACGGTTACATTATTGTGATCTTAAATTCATAGACATGGGTAGTAAAAATAAAATATTTGAGAGAATTAAGTAGGGACATAGTGCTTACCTTGCATAATTTGTCAACTTTTTATTTTTAAAACTTTTCAAATCTATGGAAAAGTAGTAAAAAATAATATAGTGAATACCCTTTATTCTTAAATGAGACATCTTTATGTATGTGTTTATGGCTGCTTTCAACTACAATGTGAGTTGGGTAGTTTTCACCAGAGACCAATTACTATCTGGTCTTTTACAGGAAGTTTGCTGACCCTATTCTAACAATAAGAACATTTCCTTGTATAACCACAGCGCATTGGTGAAATTTAGGAAATTTGAT